GGAATTAACCGGTAGAGCTTAAATGAGAAAAATGATTTTAGAGACATAATTTGATAATTCTGACGACATAAATGAGTTCAGAACGAAAAATTGTATAGTCTGGCACTTTCCGTGAAAATCTCGTGAATAGTGTTTCTACTGGGTATTTGATAATTCTGCTGTTTAAGCAACCGATAGAGTCCAGAAGCAAATAAGTGATGAAATGAGAATAAGAAAGTCCAATATATGCCAAGCAAGTCAAAATAGAGCCAAGAATGATAAGTTTATAAGTTTTAAGTTTCATGAGTAAATGAAGTACAATTAGTGATTCACAGTGCATTTCGTCAAAAACGGTGCAAAAACCATACTGTGAATTATGAATATTGTTCCTTAGAAAATAAAATTTAATGTAAATGACTTTAAAAAAATAAAAATATGTTCGTAGCTTTGAGTTAGTTCCGAGTCAGTTTAAGTGAAAATACGCGAAAGAAAAATATCTGTTAAAAAAGGCCACATGTGCTAACCTTATAAGTCACTTAAGTCTCATTTCCAAATCAGTTTCTCTCTCCTCTCCTCACTCTCAAAACCGAGCTGCAGCCATGGGGGAAGGGTTAGGGTTTGTCTTTTTCTTTCTTTGATTTCTCATGGTTAAGCCACCAAATCTTCCACCCAATATACCAATATCATAGGAAATCATCCAAGGAAGCTATTCCACCCCTCGGTTTGAGCTGATTTCGTGTGTGGAGAGAGATACTGGTCATCTCATTTTCGTGACATTGTTCATCAAGGAAGAAAAAGTGCATTTTTGAAGGAGCCTTGCTTGGAGATGTGTCTTCTAGGCTTTGGTACTTGATTAGAGGTAACAAACCTCTATTTTCATAGTAGTGTCTTGATTATTTAAGTTATAAAATTATGAATATGCTTTGGTGGGAAAGCATTATGTTTTAAAAACATTTGATTTGATGATGAATCATTGATATTTTGGATGTAGGAAATAAAAAGGAGCATTGTATGTATGTAAAAAAAATTAGAGAAAAATCATATGCCTTTCCTCTCTATGTTTCGGCCATTGATAGGGTTAATAGGATTTATTGTGAAAATTTTAATTGATGTATTAAGAGGGGTTTTATGTGTTCAAGTAAGTGGAGTTTGGATGAGTTAGTAAGAATGTTAAATTTGAAAGAAAATACTTTGAAACATACCCTTGATGTTTCGGCCTTGAAGGATTTAAAGGGCTTGAGATTCCAAAAAATTTAAATTGGAACTTGTTATATATATATATATATATATATATATATATATATATATATTTTTGTACGTGTAGTTGTTAAATTAAGTGAGGAAAATGTATTGTAAAAGAGAGGGATCCTTGGAAATTCCTTTAAAGGATTCGACCTATAGGGTGTTTAGGGAAAGATGTTGTCATATTTTATTTTAATAAAATATGTGTATTTTAAAGTATGAAAATGATAAGTCATGAAGTGAAATGGTTTGAAAAGAAAACATGGAAAAATCTATTGATTTTCTAATTGTAGGGCCACGGTCCTTTTAAAGAAAATGGCATGAATTATGTTGAAAATTCTCAAGTGAACACTTGATTAAATTAAAGAATCCTAACGAGTATAAGGTGGTCTAGACTTGTGTACTGGCATAGCATTGGCAAAAACGTAAAGAAACGAAAAGAAGCGATAAAATGTATGCCTTATGTGAAAGCTAGGCATGATGGCATTTTATTAATTTGTATTTGTGGATTCTTGCTCTAGGTGTACCTAGGGACTAAAAAGGAATTGGAGTCTCTTGAAGATATATAAGTAACTTGAGCCACAAGTAAGCAGATTGTTAAAGCTTCAAGAGGTAAGCTCTATGTTTAAGGAGTCTTTTCCTGCTCGAATGCTCCACCATAGTTAGTGGACTGTGGTTGGAATGTATGACTGTTGATATGATACTTTGTATAGATGCATTCATATAGAGTTATTTGATAACATGATATGACTTGCTCTGATATGATTTCTGTATTGATATATGGTACACTGATGTCTTCTTGGGGCTTCCCTGGGATTGACGATGTACACCTCTGACATGTTCTGGTTCCGCTTGGGGTCCTCCCTTGGGAACACGTGCGCTGACTTCCGCTTGGGGTCTTCCCTTGGGAATGACGGCGAACGCCTCTGCTGGTTCCGCTTGGGGTCCTCCCTTGGGAACACGTGCATTGATTTCTGCTTGGGGTCCTCCCTTAGGAATGACAGCGCACGCCTCCGATATGATATGGATATATGCTCTGTTCTGTTATGATATCTTCTATATGTTGTATTTGTATACTCTGTATCTTACTTTCATGCAGGAGTGAGCCAGGGGTATGGAGAATTCTCTATAAACCTGGAGCTTATTGAGATTTGTAATCTCACCCCTCGTTGGGGCCCTATTTCCAGGTCCCCAGATCCCCGGTGAGACCTCTCTAGTCAGGGACGCGACCCGTGGCTGAGGATTTTGGACGGATTGGATTTTGAGTAGCTGTAGGCTACTTCTAATTTTGAGTTTACAGTATTTTGTGGATCATGATGTTAGATCCTTTATTTTGTGTATGGCCTATACATGTTTTGTACATGTCTGTCAGTTTGATGCATGTACATTTGAGTATTCAGGCACGTTATATGATGATGTAGTATTCAGACATGTTTACGTGTTGGATTGCATGCTGTTAGATATAGTTGCACAGAGCCATGTTATGCATGCGCCCATGGATGGGTATGTGATTATATTTGGATGCCTGGTATTTCTGAATTGACATGTTGTATAAACTGTTTATCAGGAAATGCTTCTGAGTGGGATTAGAAAATCCCCAGTTGTCCGATTTATAGAGGAAACTCTGCCCGATTTTCGTTTACGCCGAGTAAGAATTAAAGTAGAAAAGGAAAAAGTTAGCTCGTATTTTCGTAAGTTAAGTCTTCCGCTGTTTCTGTTTATATCATATGCATGTTAATTGAACCGGCTTGAGACAGGGATGTTACATACTCCTCGTAATACATAGTTATTTATTTATTTTTGCATGATATAATTTTTTTCTAGCAACATTAGAAAAATAGAACCCAAGATTTAAATAAGTAAAATTATACTTCATATAATAATTCTTTTTCTTATAATCTAGTAAAGTTAGACAACATTCGAGTCATGAAAATGATTTAATGCTACATTGGCCGTGCTTCCATCGTAATATGGATTAGGACGTCCATGCACCTTGGTTGTTACGGTTCATGATAGAATCAATGGATTAGATGATGTAACATAGCAGATTCCAAGCAGAAGATCTTGCTATAGACGAGATTAGACTCGAAGTGAATTGGTGAGTGTCTTAAAATCAATGGCAATTTGCAACAATGGTTATGTAAAACTAGTTATTTTCATTGAGTAAGGATATTTTTACTACCAAAATTTTCTACTACTAACTTACTACCTATCTTCTTTTTGGATTGCTCAACTGGTTTCCGGGGCTTCGCCCCGACTATGTCCAGTCCGACCCGGGTAGGTTAACTTACTACCTATCTAATCATCATTGAATCAAAGCGAGAGAATGCTAAAAAGTTTTTGAAAAAAGAGAAAATTTTGATCCAATGGTGATTAGATAGGTAGTAAGTTGGTAGTAGAAGATTTTGGTAGTAAGAATATCCCTCCTCATTTTCATTAATAACAAATTTATAATTATCAGTTAATCTTACAGTATTAGAGTTTGAACAATGAAGAAGATATGAAAACTTTCTAGGATAAAAATAGGTTTCATTATTGTGATATGATTAAACTATTTTTTGTTGACTAATCAATACAACTTGCTATTGTTAACTTTCAACAAATCTGAAATGTAAGAATACATGAAAAATTAATATTCCAAAAGACGATAATTATGGTTACTTAATATTGAGTTCTTTTATCAAAAAATGCACTCTTGCTTCACTAAACATGTATTAAATGAACCTACCTAGTCCAATCATGCATACAAGATCACACACACATTAAAATATGTTACAAAGAGGCTAAACATATTCATTCGTGTGTTAGAAGTGATTAGGAATCATTTAAATTGAGATTGGACCGAAGCTTGCATCAATTAATGTTTCTATTTTGTAGTTTACTCGAGTAAATGATTTACTCTGTAACTATAAGTGACTTACTTGAGTAATTGCTTATGAACAATTTACTTGAGTACATCTATAACATAACAACTTAATTATCTAAATTTGAGTCCAACGGCTATAAACAATTATAACCTTCATTGGACTTTTATATAAACCTATTTCTAGGGTTTCTAGGCACGAATTAACAAGTGAACAGGAAAAATTATATAAAATTTAGATTTGGTTCATGAAAGGAATGTTTTCTTCCACTTCCTTGAAGGATTAGTGATGGTTGGCCTGCCCCTAGCGGCGGACTTGTGGGAGGGAGGTTGTCCCTGGTTGTTGCCGACGTGATAGTAGTTGGCTTAGAGGTTGCTGGCCTAGTGGTCGCCTAAGAGGTTGTCACCCTGGTTATTAAGTGGAGGTGGAGGTATATTCTCGCCCAGGAATTCTTCCATCTGATGCTCAATATCTTTTAGGCCTCAAATTAGTAGGGTCATTATGGCTCGCAAGGGGTCAACTTCATGGTTGGTTGCACAGGGGCTTAGGGGAGCAGATGGGATGAAAACAGAGACAAAGTCTTTAGTGTCATGGCCAACATAGTTCACCCACGTCATATTAGGGTTTTGTAGGTGCTGTTGTTGTTGCACCCCCCCATTATTGTTGTGAATCTTATTGTGGTTAGACATGTTGCTGCTGTTGAGGCAGAGGTTTGCTGCATTGCATGTATTCACCATTAGGGATGTTAAAAGGGCGCTCATGTAGGCCTGGTCTGATCTGTGTGTTTTGGTTGTTGGATCTAGACTTAGACTTGTATAAAAACTTATTTAATAAAAAGGCCTCAGGCTCCAATTCAAAAGCTCAGCCTTAAAACTCGTCATACTGGCCTACTAACTCTTTTTTTTTTATACTAACCTACTTTTCACTCCCATCGTCGCGCCCAACCCACTCAAGCCATCAAGCAATCGTTCTCCGTCATTCTCTTCGTCGAAGCCATCTCCAAGCATTTGACCATCGTTTTCCCTTTTGATTTCTGCCATCTCCAAGCATTTCTTGAATGATTTGTTCTATATTATGACATTTGAATATACATTGAATTTGTGAATCTTTGTGGAATTATTAGTGCTGTTGATTGCATATTTTGTTTGGATAAATCTTTGTTGTCTTATTTTTTTTAAGGCTAAGTCAGGCTTTTATTTTTTGTAAATAAGTCAAGTCATAGGCCGATAATTATATTCATAATAGGTTACAAGCTAGGCCAGTTTGACATATTTAAACACATGCTTAGCCTTTCAAGACCAAAGTCTGGCTAGGCTCGGCCAGTTAACACCCTTATTCACCATTATAGTGTGAGAATCGAAGTTTATCATCCTCACGGATGACGCCAATTTTTTATCCTAGTGATCAAGGTTGCTGTTGGATTTGTGGACTAGCAATGTCTTTGGAGGAGATAACCGCAGGTGGTGGCATATCACTATGCACAAACGAGAGTAGAAGTTAAAGGGGGTGTATGTGCCCACACAACGAAAATAATATGGGTTAGGATTTTCAAAGTGACTTACCTTTAAGACTTAACCCTCCATTTATAGAGGGTTTATTTGGTATTAGATAAGGCCCATTATTCAAGGATGATGAGCCCATTAAGTAGAGAGCATTTATTATGCTTCGGGACCACCATTTTTTAGATGGTCCTTTAGGGGTGTTTGGTAGAAGAGATATTTTTTTTACCATGTAAATGCAATTACCAATAATATGGTAGGAAAGTGGGTTTGATAGGAAAGTTAAAAAAAAAGTTGTTTGGTTGGCCAAATTTTTACCATAAAAATTGGGTTAAATTTTGTGAGTCTTTGTTTGGTTGAAGATGAAATAATGATGGGTAAATGTGTTGAAATACCGAAAATAACCCTTAATTTAATTTTTGAATGTGAAGAATGCATAAAACACATCCGGAGGTTAAGCATATTTCAGAAGCAAGGTGATACCATATTCATGTTTGCTGATATAAAACATGGCAGTAAACTGCGTCAGTTGTGTATCAAGTGGCATGCGTATTGCAAACTTGTAGCCATAAAATAACTTTCAAACTATATTTCACAAGGTCATTGGCACAAAATTGCCAGGCCATGCACAACATATCTCCCTACGCGCCTCCTCCAACACAAAATTCTATTTCAATGTTGAAGAAAAAGAAAAAGAAATTACATAGCACGTCTTGTGACTAGTGTAAACTTAGAACTTTCATCCTATTCCTGTCAATCTGAAGCAGCTTATTTCAAACATGACCTCATAATCTTCGCAAGCTTTGTACAAACCTCCAAGCACAGCTGCATTCCCTGCATAACATTGGCTTTTATATTACACTACCACATGTATAAGTCTTGTAAATAGCTTTGACTCAATATCAGTTGTATTAACTAAATATGGTCATATAAGATTTACCAAAAGGCGTTGTATCAGTGATACAACCGTATCGAAGAGGAAAGGGAATAAGGGATAGAAAAGTAGAATCGAAAAGGAAACTCAAGTTTTTATTTATCAGATGCTGTTATCAGATACATGAATAACTACTTATACTCAACTGTTTACACGTATCATTTCCATATTACACGTATCATTTCTACAACTAACCGTCTATCCTATCTGTCACTATATTATTGGTCAACTGCTTAACTAGTTAACTCCTTCCAGATTCTTCTTGTTATGATCTTCCTTAACAGGTATAATCCTTCATCCAGGCTGGTGTGTCCTTCCTTCTACTGGGCCGTATGGCAGAGATGGTATTCGAACTTGGGCCATTCGAATCTTCTTCAGTTGGGCCCGTAACAACTACTCCCTCCGTGAGAGAGACCTTGTCCTCAAGGTCTAATGCTGGGTATGCAGCTTGTAAATCAGTACCTAATTCCCAGGTTGCATCTTCAGGAATAGTGTCAGTCCATTGAACTAAGTATTGCATCTGAGGCATGCCACGAATTAAAGAAGAACGAGATGCCAATATTGCAAGAGGTTTCTGAACTGGTTTATTGTCAAACGTGTGAGGTGGCAGAGGAGAGAAGTGTACTCCTGGTGTTCCCCAAAATGGCTTCAAACAAGAAATATGAAATGTAGGATGAATCTTAGAAGTGGCAGGTAAGTCTAACTGGTATGCAACAGGACTGATGACTTTCTTGATGGTGAAAGGACCATAGAATCTCTTAGCAAGCTTCTAGTGAGAGCGGTTAGCAACTGAGAGTTGGTGGTAAGGCTGTAATCTGACTAACACCAAATCATCTTCTGCAAGGAGTAAGTCCCTACAATGCCTGTCTGCTTGATTCTTCATCCTATTCTGAGTCCTCAACAAATTTGCTTTAAGACTGGATAGAATGTCATTCCTTTGACAGAGGAGTGTGTCTAAGGCTTCAATTGGAACTAATCCACGAGGGTAGTGAGGTATTGAAGGAGGGACCCTCCCATATACAGCTTGAAATGGAGACATGCCAATGGAAGAGTGAACTGATGAATTGTAATGGAGTTCAACCCAACATAAGAATGAAGACCATTTCTTATGTTGCTCAGCACAAAAAGCTCTTAAGTATTGTTCCAAGTAACGGTTGGTCACCTCCGTTTGTCCATCCGTGTGTGGATGATAGCTGGAGCTGGTTTTAAGCTTAGTACCACTCAAGGAAAATAACTTTTGCCAAAACTTGCTCATGAAGATTGGGTCTCTATCAGAAACCAAAGAACGAGGAAAGCCATGAAGTTTCACTATGTGCTCACAAAATATTTTAGCTACTGTGGCAGCTGTGTAGCAATGACTCAATCCAATGAAATAAGCATATTTTGATAAATGGTCCACCACCACTAATACCACAGAAAAACCATTAGATTGAGGTAAGCCAGTAATGAAATCCAATGAGAGATCTTCAAAAATGGCTTCGGGCATGGGTAGAGGCTGAAGTAGCCCCAAAGGTGTTGCTGTAGTGGTTTTAATTTGTTGGCAAATAATGCATTGTTGAAAAAATTTAGTGACATATCTTCTCATATGTTGCCAATGAAAAGAAGCAGACAATCGAAGGAATGTTCGGAGAGAACCAGCATGTCCACCCAAAGGAGTCGAATGAGCTTCCTCAATCAAATCTGTCTTCAATTTGGAATTGGATCCCAAAAAAAACGGCCCTTATGGTATAAAATGCCATCTTTAGCTGTGAATAAAGGATCAAGCACAGCACCAGTAGCTAATTGTTGGTGCAAATTTGCTAGCTCAGGATCCGAAATATTTTTAGATTTAATGGTGTCAAGGATTCCAAAATGTGGTTCAGAGAATAAAGGCAACAATGAACCAGCCTCAGTGTTATCAAACTGCCTTGACAGTGCATCAGCTACTATATTTGCAGATCCTGGTTTATATTCAATGGTAAATGAATAGCCAAGGAGCTTATGGATATACCTGTGTTGTTCTGGTGTCTGTATGGTTTGGGAGAGCAATTCTCTGATGCTTTGGTGATCTGTACGTACAATAAAATGGGCTCCAAGCAAGTAATGTCTCCATTTCTTCACTACCTTTGTGATGGCATAGAGCTCTCTAACATAGGTGGAGGCCTTGGATAGTATGACCCCAAGCTTCTTGCTAAAATATGAAATTGGTTTACTGTTTTGAAGTAGAACAGCCCCTATGCCTATACAAGATGCATCAGTTTCAACAATGAATGTAGAAGAAAAATCGGGTAAAGCTAAAATTGGGGTTGAACTCATAGCCAGCTTCAATTTGCAAAAAGCTTCATTTCCAGCAGATGTCCAAACTAGTTTGTCAGACTTCAAGATATCAGTGAGTGGTGATGCAATGGCAGCATAGTGATTAACAAATTTTCTATAGTAGCTTGTCAAACCCAAAAAGGCACGAAGCTGTTTAATGGAATGAGGTGTTGGCCAATCCATCATAGCAGCTACTTTCTTAGGATCTGCCTTCACTCCCTCAACACATACAATATGTCCCAAATAAGAAATTTCCATAACTCCAAAGGCACATTTGCTCAGTTCGACAAAAAACTGATGCTGATAAGGGCAAGTCTTAAATGTTGTACATGATCAGACAAGGAAGGACTATATACTAGTATATCATCAAAAAATACAATGATAAACTTCCTCAAATATGGTCTGAAAATTTGGTTCATGGCTGATTGAAAAGTGGCAGGAGCATTTGTGAGTCCAAAAGGCATCACAAGGAACTCATAGTGTCCTTCATGAGTCCTAAAAGCAGTTTTGAAAACATCTTGGGGAAACATGCGAATTTGATGGTAACCAGCCCTAAGGTCCAATTTGCTAAACACTGATGCACCCAACAATTCATCTAATCATTCATCAATTGTGGGTATAGGGAACCTATCCGGAACTGTCAAGGCATTCAAAGCCCTATAATCAATGCACATGCGCCATGTGCCATCTTGTTTCTTTACTAAGAGCACAGGGGATGAATAAGGACTCTTACTCGGCTGTATGAACCCTGCAGATAGGAGATCAGAAACTTGTCTCTCCAATTCTGCCTTTTGATGATGAGGGAACCTATAAGGCTTCACATTAACTGGTTTGGCCCCATCCAGTAAGTGTATTGAATGCTCCATCCCTCGAAAAGGAGGTAAAATCTGAGGTGTCTGGAAAACAGCCTTGCATTCCTGCAACACGCTCCATAAAGCAAGATTGAGTGTATGTTTGATAGCTTCTAATTCAGGCAACATCTGTCCATCCTGCTCAATTGAATTAACTGCTGTCAGTAAGTAACAGGAAGCCTTTTCCACACAATCAGCATTGTGAGGTTGTTCAAGGACACCTTGTAATTTGACTAGCTGACCATCTTTAATAAACTCCATTGATTGATGCATATAATCATAAGTTACTCCGCCTAAACTTTCAAGCCAAGTCATGCCTAAAATGGCATTCAAGTCCTGTAAGTCCAGCACCCAAAAATCAATCACGAAAGGATGATTCTGGATTGTTAGTTGAATCATGTTGCACTTCTTGTCACAGAATAAAAATTCCCCATTTCCCATGAAAACCTTCTTTCCCTTGGAGTGACTCATAGGAATACCAAGTGTGGTAGCTAACTCACGATTGATAAAATTGTGAGAACTGCCAGAATCCACCAGTACATCAACATTGTGGTTGCCAAGCAATGCAGTCAAAATTAAAGCTCTATGATTAAAGGAACTTGCTAATGAAAACATAGTAGCATCTGGATTTGGCTGTATGCTAGCTGTTGGAGTAGCATCCTTAGATTCAGGTGACCAAAGGATTTCTTCTTCAGTATCTTGCTGATCATCATCCATCTCTCCAATTAAGAGAAACATTTTGGATTGGCATCTGTGTTTGGAGTGCCACTTTTCATCACAAGTGAAACATATGCCAAGTTCACGTTTCCTGAGGATCTCTTCGGGTGGAAGCTTTTTGATAGGCAATGTGGAAGGCTGAAAGGATAGTGGTTTGGGTATGCTGTTGAATGTGGTTGGTGCACGAAAAGTGGAATTAGGATTTGTTTTGGGAAAAGTTGTATTATTGCTGGTAGAAGAGAAAGAATTTCTTTTCTGATTGGAAAAAATTGACGAACGTAATTGATCATGGTGAGTATCCAATGCATATGCTAACTGCATAGCATGATGAAGAGACTTAGGCCATTGAAGTTGAATTGCTCCTCTAAGATCAGGTTGAAGGCCAGAAATAAAAAAACTCATCAAAACATCATCACTGAATCCTTGAACCTGATTCAGTAAGGATTCAAAATCTCTGGTATATTCCATCACAGTACCTGATTGGGAGAGTTTGGACAAAGTTCCTTTAAGGTCAACAAAAGCTGAAGCTCCAAACCTTTGACGCAAGGCACAAGCAAAGTCCTCCCATTGAGAAATCAACCCAGTGGTAAACATCCATTGAAACCATGGTGATGCCTGACCTTCCATCTTTATACCTGCAAGTTGAACCTTCATGCATGGCGGCACATTGTGCATCTGGAAAAACATTTGAGCTTTGAAGATCCAATTATTAGGGTCAGATCCTACAAATGAAGGAATTTCGACCTTGATGGATTTCAACACTCTCTGCTCCGGTGTTTCTGGTGAACGAAAATGAGTAGCAGTTGGATCGAAACTGGAACCGTGATTCTTTGAACTGGTTGGGGTGGAGGTATGGGTTTTGGACATGAATTCACGTAATCGAGCATCCAAACTCAGAACTGATTCTGTAAGTTGATCAAGTTTTTGAGTAAGATCAGATCGTGTAGCTTTGATTTCCAATTGAAATTCCGAACGCAAATCCTCAGCAACCTCCTGAATCTTCATGGTGACTCAATGAAAGCGCCAGATGATACAACCGTATCGAAGAGGAAAGGGAATAAGGGATAGAAAAGTAGAATAGAAAAGGAAACTCAAGTTTTTATTTATCAGATGTTGTTCTCAGATACATGAATAACTACTTATACTCAACTGTTTACACGTATCATTTCCATATTACACGTATCATTTCTACAACTAACCGTCTATCCTGTCTGTCACTATATTATTGGTCAATCGCTTAACTAGTTAACTCCTTCTAGATTCTTCTTGTTCTGATCTTCCTTAACAGGTATAATCCTTCATCCAGGTTGGTGTGTCCTTCCTTCTACTGGGTCGTATGGCAGAGATGGTATTTGAACTTGGGCCATTTGAATCTTCTTCAGTTGGGCCCGTAACAATCAGTCCAACGCAATTTAAGTGGTTCAGAAGAAGCGTAGTCGAGGGTTAGTTTGCAGAGATGTGTACTTTTAGAAGAGGGTAATATGGTAACGCTCTTCGTTCACCTTTTTACGGTTTAGCTAGTTTTCTACGAATACTACATTCAAAGTGGTAATGTTTAACAGTGATTTGCTTTTCTTTTTGTATATGCTTCCAAAAGGATGGGAAAAGAGAAGCATGACTAAATTTTTTTATTCCTTCTATCAAACAAAGGCATCATGGAATGCCAATAAAAGATGGACGGGGAACTAAATGAAAAACCTGAACCAAACGTCTCCTTAGGTTAAAATTGAAAAAGAGAAAAAATAACAACAATAAAAAGGGAAAGAAAAAATTAGTTTGTGAGAGGGAGCACCAATGTTATTGAGTGGTCCTTGACCATAAAAATGTTTCCAATTAAATGGGTACAAAGAATATATTAATGTGTGAATCTTTAAAATGATTTCAAGAAACTATATATTCTTTCAAAAGTCATTGATAATCCCCATGCTAATGCATGCTGGTGTCTATGTTGCAATTGATTCTAAAAGTGTAATTTTTTTTTTTTTTTGTATAATCTAAAAGTGTAATTAAGTTCCTGTTGAAAATAAATTAATTCATTTTTGCTTATACTCAAGTGTAGTGTTACAATCAGGAAATAAAAAATAGTTAAAAACAGTCGTCCAATTTTAGCTTACAGAAATACAATATTAATGTTTTGTTTGCATTAATTTTTTTTTATTTTTGTGTACAAACGCATTATTTTTTGTTTGTTTGTACGTCATATTGCTCTTCTACTTAACACTTAAGGTATAGCATATTGATTAAATATTTAGGAGACGACTTGATTCACACTCTTACACAACAAACAAGCCTCAAATTGATTATAATTTTGATTCTGCTTAATCAACATCTATCACACACATCATTGCTTATTACATATAATTACTTTCATCATTAAGTTAATTCTTTCTATATAAACTTTTATATTCAAAAATAAAGAAAATATGGAGAACTATTTGATCTCATGTTGCAAAACATTATGTAATCAACCCAAGTTTATTACCAAAAAAACCCTTAATATATAGCTTCAAATACATGTTTTATTTAGTTTCATGTATTATAAGGGTACAATGTAACTCATTTCTTAATACAACAGCAAGCTGAATCATCAAAACAGATGCCCCCCTTATAGCCTAGATTATTGCACTTATTGCTACAGTAATCTGGAGATACGCATGGCCATGCACAGGCGTATCGATCATCCTGAACACCTACTTCTGGTCCTGCACTTAGAACAAAATTTTGGAAATGGTTAATGCTTTTCTTTTGTGAAATTACAATATATCGTGGATTTTTTTAATCTAATAGCTCTCGGTATCAAAAGATCTTGCCCTATATATATATATATATATATATATATAAATTTGACACCTCATCTGAGAGTCATTAGATAAAAAAAGATCAATGGTGTCACATGCTTACAAATCAGAGTCGTTGATCTTTTTTGATTTAATGGCTCTCAGATGAGGTTTACATTTCTGCCACTGCTGTACGTGCAGTAATCAAATACTTTCCATATATATATTTGAAAGCATTAAATGCGAGAAATCATAACCATACAAAGGATAAAAACATTAAATGTGGGGAATCATAATCATACACTTGTCGTTGTTGTACGTAAAGCAGCTGCAAAAATGATTTTACCTATATATATATATAGAAAAGTATTTCTACAGCCACTTTAGATAAGGTGATAACAATAAAGCTGTACTTTTTTTTTTCTCTTTCCTCATACATTGTCGGCTGATGTGGCGGAGAGAGAAAATACAATTTTAATGTACGACCGGTCGTACTTTGTGAAAAAAGGGTAGCTATAGAGAAGCTTATATAAAATGGCTGCAGAAATGTTTTCCCCATATATATATATGGGATATGTTATTCTGCCTACTCCATTTTGCCTACCTTAGCATACCCCTTTGATTACCGTTCGATTACGGTCTAATCTATCGGTCCATATTTGCCAAATAAAATAAACCATTTCCTCCTCATTTTTTCTCACACCCTTTCTCTCTTCCTGGCGACGAAGATCCAAAATTCCGGTAACTAAAATCACTTCTTCCAAAACGAAAATTAATCTGTTTTCGTATCGATGAAAAATTATATCATCATCTACCATTAATTTAATGAATTCTTTAATATATATATAAAAAAGGTTTCGTCAAAGATGCTTATCTAAAGATCCAACTTTTGACCTTGGGAGAAATTTTTAATATGGTCAGAACACCATAGTCCTTCCACTAAAAAAATATAAGGTTTCGTCAAAGATGCTTATCTAAAGATCCAACTTTTGACCTTGTGAGAAATTTTTAATATGGTCAGGACTACCATAGTCCTTCCACTAAAAAATTGACACCTGGACCAAATTTATTTTTTTCTTCCTTCTCTCTCCTCTCTCTTCAACTTTTTCTCTCACCTTCAGTCCCACCAAACTTTTGTCGGTCCGGAGCACACTAACTTTGCTCGACCTTGGGAGGTTCAAACATCACTTTCAAGTTTCAACCACTGCACTCATTGGGTAAAGAAATTATTTTTGATCTTGGCAAAATCTTGAAATTATTTAGTAAAAATGACAGTGAAAATTTTGTCAAAAATACGTTACTGAGTTTCACTCACCAGACAGCCAAAGGTTTTTTTTTTTTTTTTTAATAAATAGACTTAGAACACTAAACGAAAAAACAAACCCCAGTTGTATGTAGAAAAATTGGAATAAGAAGACAAACCGAGAGAGCAATATCATTTCATCTTTGAATAAATTTTTTTTTTCCGGTAAAAATCTTTGAATAACTTAACTGCATATTGGAAATACAACTTAAGAAACAAAGTTAACATATTTTTCTTACCTGAAGCCAAGACCAAAGCAATGCAAAAGAATCCTATGAGAAAACGTTGGCTGACACAAAAACCCATTTTGAGAGGATTTCTCGTTTGAGTTCTATATCTTTCTTTTTTGCAAAATAGATGGTTAATATCATGTTTATTATATATGGATAAAATCTGGTCTCAAAAGGATAATATTGATTATTCACAATAAGTGCCTTTAACTGTTGCCTAGCCAACTATCCTATAATTAAATTGATACTATCGTATAATTAATTTGACGATTAATTAGTATTCAATGCAAAATATTAACATATTAATTATGCTAACAACTGATTCTAATCCTACAATGCATACTAATTATTCTAATCCTATCATTATGTATACATTAAATGCAGGATATTTTCCTCTAATATATATTATCTTCTTCTTCTTTTTGGTATCCTTATTTTATATATTATCTATTTGATAAGAAAGTTCAGAAATCCAATCAGGAAGAAATTAAATATAGAAAAATAATAATATGAAAATCTTTTAAATTCTTTAATAATTTTATATTTTAGAATTTTCGTTTGTTCAAATTCATTTATCATTAATTTAAATATTAAAAAAAATTACACCAATATCATATCACTATTTTTGGTAAACTTCATTTTTAAGAAACGAATTAAGAATAATTTAAATATAGATTACCAAAAAAAGAATAATTGAAATATAGAAATGTACTACTTTTAGTAAACAGATACTATAATAGCCACCTCACCATGATTTTTCCAATCCGTGAATCTTATTTTAGGATAAAAAAATCAATACTTTTCTAAGGGTGGGATTATTTTATACTAATGTAAGAATAATAAGTATTATACTAAATTTTAATTGTTGATTTTTGTGAATCTGAAAATTGTGATTTATTGGGTTACATTAATTATTTATTTATTAATTTTTAATAAATCATAAACATTAGATTGGTGACAATTAATAGTTAAGATTTTGTGTAAGGCTTTTTTAACTGTAATAATAAAAAAAATTGAAAAAAAAATTCTCAATCTCATGAGTTCTATAAAATATTCACCAAAGCAATGAAATTGATCATGCTTGTGGCCCGTGACCAAGTTGTCATGCGGCAGAATGTGGTAAACGAATAAATTTTTGACGTTACTACCAAAGATTCAGTACATCCCATCAATAAAAATATTACATGTCAGCAAAAAAAAATTTTTCTCTTGTCAAATTTTTTCTCTCTCATCTGATGTGTAATACTTCTATTAGTGGGATGCACTGAATCTTGGTGCTACAGTAGCACCAAAGATTTATTCGTGGTAAACGTGCTAAGGGGTGATTCACTCCCCCTTTGTGTGTTTAGCATATTTTATCATCACAGGATCGTTTCGATTAAATTCTATTTATTTTTGCAACTCTATTTTCTTACTACACATAAATATTAATTAGCATCATAAATAAGAATTGATATCGTAAATAACACATTTATTATTATTTAATAAACTCATATTTATTTTATTTAAATTAAATAATAATTAATAATATTAAAAAAATTCTTTTATCTTTCATGATCTTTGGAAAACCTTGAAAATTAAAAAATATAAAACTTATTATCGTCACAAGAATTCAAATTTTTTATATCATTTAAATGGGGAAGGATATTGTAACAATCAATTAGTGTTACCATCAATCAATTTCACCGTTAGATC